ATAACCATATTGGACAATATCTGTAACCCAATTTTTGCCAAAAGACGCGATCCAATGGTCTTTGAAGTGGGAGATCCTTCCAGCGATCTTTGAGGAAGTTGAAGAAGAAATTATTTTTGGTTGTTTGTTGACGTGCTTGACTGAAAATTTCCCTGCGATTGTGAGTGTGATTGGGATCGTGAATAATTACGGTTCTTTCCTTTGTAAGAATTGTATGAATTTTGAGATCCTGTTGTAGGTGATTTAAAACTGACAGGAGAGTATTGTTTCTGTTTTGAATTTTGTTGAGCTCATTTCTTTTGAAAAGCAGCTTCATTAAACAATTTGTTAATTTCATTTTCTTGTTGAACCAACTCTGGTAGTTTATCCCCGAAAACACCTCGTTGACCGGTAGGTTTTCTATAATTGGAAGAGAGGTTCTTAAGTGCCAGTTCCCTACGTAGGTCGTTTCCGTATGATGAGGCGTCCAAAAGGAGGGCTCTTGAGTTGAGTACTGTCTGTTCAAGTTGGAGCCAAGACTCGTAAGAATCTCCAGAGTCTTCGGTCGGCTTTGAAGCATAAACCATCCTGAGTGTATTATCGATCGGTCTAAGAACTGAGGACGTTTTATAGAGCAGTCTACTATAGTTTTTGTCAGTTTCTTTATCAAAACGGGACATGATGGATAACATGCGTTGTTCCATCTTGAGTGGTGTAAAGGATATATCTTTATTTCGAGGTTCAGCCTGAAAAATTTTTTTCTTAACAACAGGCTCGAGAGAGTTTCCACAATAAATTTCTGTGGGTAAGTTTGCCATGGGACCGCAAGCAGTCCAGGTATTTGAGTCGTTTTCCTCAAAATCGAGGTCATCTTCATTTGTATTATTAATATTATTAACGTTTTCTTCGTTAGTCATTTCTTGAAGATGTTAACAAGAGCGAACCGCAACAAGTTAAAAACGGCCTAAAGAGGCTTGTGTGAGAATTGTAGTCTATATATAGTAAAATAATAGTTTAATTGTTTATAATTATGTAATATGTTTATTTATGATGTAATTATTCTTTGTACTAACTTGCCGCAGCTAATAAAATGGCCGATTAGCACGTGATTATACTTGTCCGGAGTTATGAAATTGATTTGCCTTTTTTATAGTTATAAGGTGATATAAAATATTTATTAATGAAGTTGGTAAATGAATATGCAGTCAAAAATTATAAAATTGTCTTATTTATAATTAAAATACTGGATGGATGGGTGCAAAAAATCAAAAATCATGGACATAAATAATGTTTGTGCTTGACAAAGGTTATCTACCATAAGACAAAGGATAAGCATAATAAATATTACAGACATAAATGTCTGTGCTTTACAAAGATTATTATAAGTATAACAAAAATCACTGACATAAATTTCTGTGCTTGATAAAGGTTATCATAAGACAAAAGATAAGTATAATAAATATTACTAACATAAATGTCTGTGTTTGACAAAGATTATCATAAGTATAACAAAAATCATGGACTGGTCTTGACAAAGGTTATCACAAATATCACAGACATAAATGTCTGTGCTTG